CTTCTTCTTTGGTGCAAACTTTCATACCCTTTTCGGTCGCTTTGCTCAAATCATTTCTCCCAGCTGCCCCCTTGGATATTCCCTTACGTTCTTGAATCAGGTGGCGAGGGATCAGAAGGCGATTCGGGACGACTCTGACGAAGACAAGGCTCCAATCTCAACGGACAAAGGCAGTGCTTCGATGCAGCTGCCGGTCTCGGTGATGCGCCACCTGCCGATACTTCAACTCCCAAGTCGGCTCGTAGATCGCTGTTCGGTCCGAAGGCGTGGAAGAGGGCGGCCCAGAAGAAGCGCAAGAAACCCCGTCCTCATTCTCCTGCTAAGTCGCCACGACGTCATATAAAGACTCGGTCCAAGTCTGTACCGTCTTCTCCAAGTTCATGGTCGCCACCTCCTACACCAGCGTCTTCCTCGACTCCCGCAGTGTCGACCTCAGCGGCGACCAGAGTGACGTGGACATGGGGACTGCTGATCCAGGCAGCGTCCCTTCGGTTCAAGAAACTGCTACAGAGCCTTCGGGTAAGGACGTGAACCCTGAGGATCACGACGATGTTCCTGTCTCTCCTGACGCGCCTTCGCTCCCGCCTCAGGGTCCACACGATGTGGCCAAGTCACCAGCTTCAACGATTTCACCTTCTCCAGCCGACATACGTGCTGCTGAAGAGGCTCTGCGCGAGGCCGAGGAAATGCGGCTCATGTTTGGCTCGAGTGACGAAGATGAAGAGTCAAACCAGACTGTCCCACAAGGCAAGTCTGCTTCGGCGTCTGCCGCGACATCCAAGGCAGTTGAAGTCTCGGGAGTGGTTTCTACAGCAGGGTCTGCCCCTGTTGAGGCTGCTCCACTAGCTTCCGCGTCTTCGAAGTCTGCTCCGACTGTTCCCACGACTGATGTACCAAACGTGTCTTCGCCTGGCCTTTCGATGGAGATTGATGACGATGGGAATGCTGATGACGACTATGGAGATGACGTGGATGACAATGAATCTTCGGTGGATGACTCTCCTGATGTTCCCAGTGGTAGCGGTGATGTTCCGCCCCCCACCGATCATTCAAGCATACTCGATGACGAAGATGTTGAAGATTCAAACAGGAACTGGAGTAATCTTGGCCCAGCTCGTCCTCCGACTCCGCCTCGGCCAAATCCTTCGCCGATGATGACTTCCCCAATCATCGTTGGCGGCCCGCCTCCTTCGCCACCAGCATCTTCTCTTCCTGTTCCAGTGTCTCCTCGTCCGCCTATTTGGACTCTCGATGCTGGACCTGGACGCATGATTACGGCAACCTACACTTCGGTGCCGCGTCGTGGTGGTGCACCGTCGGTTGAGCCGTTGCCTCACCGAGTGTTATCTGGTATTCGCCCTATGGTGCCGGCTTCGTCCACCCTGCCACCGTGGGTTCTTCCGTATGTGGACATGGAGTTTACCGATGCAGGCGCCAAGAAGTGTTATGAGCGACTCTTGAGCTTAACGCTTCCTGAACCAGCTGGTGAGGTGACCGTGCGTACAACGTTGGAGGGTCTCCAAGCGTTCTTTGATTATTCGCATCCTGATCACCCGTACCAGCAGCTTCGGCAGCCTTATCCTCTTCAAGCTTGCCTCTTTGACACTGTCGACTTCAAACCAAGCGTCCCCATCTCCAAGCGTGCTCCGATTGAGACCCGTCTCAAGATGATCTGGGCGAACCTTCGGGGTGACGGCGGTAAGCAAGGTGACCTCGGGTTCGCGTTGTGGGAGCGTCTCCACTGGGCTTTCGCGTGGGTTTTGCGTTAGCGCGTAAATGAAAAGCAGCTCTCGCTGAAGAAGATCAAAAAGATTGGCCCAGCACACAGCAAAGCTCTGAAGGAAATGGCAAGATCATGTTTAAAGAAGGATCTCTCCCCTGGGAAGGCGCCAAGTCCCCGGCCCCAACTTTTTCCTAACAGTACGTGACCGTACTTGCTGGATCTGATCGGTTCTCTATGCTCGGCTGTCTTCTTCTCCCGAGTTGCTTTTGGAGCCGTCTAAGCCGTGGTACCCCATTGAAAACTTGTCATTCGCACCTCAGACATCTGACTGGCTTTCCGAAGTTCCGGCTCTCGACGCTCGTCAGCCATGGCGTACTGGGATGGATGAATGCGCCGCATCAGCACCCGTACAACACCACATACTTCCCGTGCCAGCGTAATCCGGAGTTCTTCAATCCTCGTGGTACGCGTTTTCGTGATGTGTACCGAAGCGTGATCGTTGACCCGTCTCTCGATTCACCGAGCTATTCGACCTGGCGTTCGTTGTTGACTCGCCACGGGTACTCCACGTCCTGCTCTGGCTGCTGATCCTGTTGAAGCTGGTACCGAGGATCTCTTTAGGGTCCGGCTTCAGCTCCAGCTGCCGAGGCTCAGGTTCTTGATGAAGAGGAGAAGGAGAGTGGTGACTCGGCTTCGTTGACACTCTTGGCCACCGCGGCCAGACACTTGGAATCGATTTGACTCCTCGCTGCACGTTCTACGACGTTCTCCAGCATCTCAGCTAACTGTTGAGGTGTCCCGCGTGACTTCGTTTTCGGTGATCGCTCCGCGGTCGGCATTCATGTTTTCTTATTCTTAATCCACTTCCACAGCGTAATCATGTTCATGTTGTTCTTCAAATGCATATACAATTTGTTGTTGCAGTAACGTTCTTCGTCTGTTACCACAGGCTGCATCGCCCTGTGGACAGTTCATGCGTGATCCAGTCACGCTAGTCTTCGTCCGCCACTTGCGCCATCTGTAGCCGATTCTCGCTCTTCTTGGCTCGCAAATAGTTGTACAGCAGACCTCCACATGACAAGTTTGACGATGGTTCCCAAGTTGTATCTTCATAGCCAACCCACTTGACTTTGAACTCGCGTACAGCACGCTCCGTGCTCGTCGTTAGTGGTGTTCTGTCGTCGAGGATGGCCTCGACTTCATATTCACCGGCAACTTGGTCTGGTTCCCAGCTGTCCTCAGGCAGTAGTTCCTCATCGAAGTCGAGTCTTGCTTCATTAGTCGCGTCAAGTACCAACCGAGTGTTCGGTCGACTGTTGAATTCGTTGACAGCCTTAAGTCTTGACACATGCAC